GGGGGTCTGTTCGAGGTAGCTCACCTTGGTTCCCCCAGGATAGCTTTGGAGAGACTTCACGGTAACCCTAAATCAGAAGAATTGTATAATTTGTGAACTCATAATATATAGAATTTTAATATTTATGTAGATGTACTTCTTTACTACATTAAGGATAAAATTTGAAATATGTTATTTTCATTGAGTTTAAATCTTATGCTTTTCCAGTATTCTCCAACCTGCCGGAAACATGATTTTGAGGCTGGCTGCTTTGTGCCCTTGGACAATGGAGTTACAGCCGCCTCCTGGCCAGGCAGTAGTGACAAGATCTCAAGTCCTTTACTAATTTAATGGTCCCTGTGCTTATCGTTAGGTTTGTATCTTGTCATAACTATAACTAGTCTGAGACACACATAACTCTTCCCTGATCTCTGATAATGGGAAGGATCAAAATGTTCCCTTAAAATCAGTAATTATACATTGCTGAAGGTTTGTTATCCTGTCTGAAGGTATGATTTATTTGCCACAGGACAAGAACTTCATAACTTTCCCTAGTAACTCATTGTGAGGTTAAGTATTTTTTATTTTAAGGTAGATGGCTTTATCTTCCTCTCTCACTTGGTATGTTTAAGGAGTGTGAGTGAGTTCCCTGGCCTCTTCCTTTTGGCGAGGCTGAGGCTAGCACAGGGTTTGTGCTGGGAGCTGATGAGAACAACATTCAGTGTAGACCTGCAGAGTCTCACGTGGACACTGCCGTCAGTGGGACATCCTCTGGTCACATCGTGGCAGGGTGGGACTCTGCTTCAGCTGGTGTCACTCCATGTCGGGTAACCCTAATAACACGGCTTTGTCCCCACTTTGTGGGGTTGGCTGCTCCATTGGGGGAAATAGTTCCTGCCCAAAAGGAGGTGAGCCCAGGTAGTAGCGAGCACTGAATCCAGCTTGGCCACCTGCACGCAGTAACAATTTCTGCAATTTAAAAATAAAAACAGCAACCAAACAAAAAACTTGCATGGAGAAAAGTTGTGGATGTTTTATAGGAAGAACAGGTGCCTTTAAGCTTCAGTTTTTGCTCACAGTGACTTTTTAGAGACTTTTTAAAAACAATAGTAAAACCCCTCACCTGTTTGTGCTCAGAGCCCCCAGATTTCTCAAACCTGTCTTGAGAAATAAGATTCAGTAGGCCAATGCGTTGCTAATTAAATTAATAGTGCAAACTCTCTGCAGGTGTAATTCAGAATAAATGAGGAACAAATGTGGTCATCTTAACAGGATCTTTTTTCAAAGGATTTTTTTCCAAAGTATTTTCAAAATAATTGGGGTTTCTAATGTAAGCTTGCACTCTAATGTTTTGAAATAAGTACTTATACTTTTGTATGTGGGGAAGCAAACTGGTTTGTCTTGTGTTCAGTTGGAAGAATTGTGAGGTGTAGGTCTGGTGACTGTAGCTGCGGTAACTTTGCAAATTGAGCACAGTAGAGGAGGAATTGTTGAGGATGCAGAAGCTTTTGTTGGTCTATATGTAGAATTTTACCTGTTTGAAGCCAGGCAAGATGATACGTGAGTAGTGATGAATAGCTTTCTACTTCTAATAATACTATGATTTCGCGGTTCTTTTTTTTTTTTTTTATGAAACTTTTCATTCTGTTTGAATGCCTGAATGAATGCGTGGAAGAACAGGGCTGAATGAACCAGCTTTATGTTTTCTGTTTTTCCACGTTGTTAGGCATTTTTGCTGACCTTTGTCTGGCTGCTTTCAGCCAAAACCTATAGGTCCACCAAACCATAACGCATTTACCATGTAAACTGTTAAAACATCCTTAATATTGGGGGGAAGATGGTTCTAATCTTTGGTAATACTGGGATTCTTCTTCTGCTGTAATTGTCAGAGGAAAAACATGTGCAATAGTAGTTAAGCCTTTTACGAGCCCACAAAAGCCCTTTGGATATTCTCCCAAGGTAATAGGGTATAGTCCCACCTAGTCATGCGATCCACCGCAGCAATTTAAATCAGAAGGCAGATTCTGCTGTGCTACCTCGGAGACACCTCGGCATCCGAGGATTGGGTCTCAGTCTGCACGTCTGGAAAAGTAAGTTTCTTACCTGCCAGGTTGTCCGACCTTGACTTTGTGCTCATCTTTTATTTTTTGTGGTGGTTTTGGTTATTTTTATACTGGTGAGCAATGTGGACTTTCTCTTATTTAAAAAATCTTTATTTGGAAAGTATTGATGTTGTTTGCCTAAATGTCTGAGTTTCATTTGTGTCTTAATGAAAGTTAATGTTTAAAACATTCAGTTAATTGTAGGAGTTTAGCAGGATCGAACAGCAAAATGATTCAAGGATAATAATGGTACTGGCTTCCTTTCACCTGGTCTTACACGGGTGTTCAAGAATAAATTAGTGCATTCGTAAATACTTAGTAATGATGTAGAGGTTAAAATAGTTCTGCTCTATATAAGTTTGTGCATAAATATTCGTTATTAAATAAAGCAAAAGTGTAGTTGTGTATGTCGGGCAATAAAAGTAGATTCACGTACTTGAACGTGAAATTCTTTGGACTTAAAATTGGCAGGCATCCCAGTCTTTGTACTTATAGGACAGGGAGAAAAAAACCATGAGCAACAATGAAGGGGAAAAGTGTATGATTGGAAATTGTTAATTAAGATGACATTTGATTACCTGCCATCAAAATCCAATAACTTACTGTATATTTGATTTGCCAGAACACTGAAGTTGTGCCTGCATGGCGTGCTCAGGAACTCTGTAGATCATGGAATATGCTGATTTTGGGTTCAAAACCTTTGGTTCCAGTTTTCAGCCACTGTTTTCAGTGTGTCTGAAGTCCTTCTGGCTACTAGCATTCATTCCAGAACTTAAAGTTAAGTAACAAAACTTGAAGAATGTTGACTGTATTTAAAGAAAAGGTGAAATACATGCTGCAAAAAAAGTCCGTGAGTGAAGAATTGGATCATATTTCTGAGCACCTGGAGCAGAAACCTGTTTTCTTACCAGGTCCAAATAAGTATTTTGGACAACTTTGTTGGGCCTCGCATTAATTCATGCTTGAATGTCATCTGGTGGTATTGTGAAAAGAAATCCCATGGCAGTGGGTAGCCTGAAGTGAGCCTGGAAAAAATTAAGAAATTATATCAATGAATTCATACAGTAACGAGTATAGTGGGTGTCCTGTCCCTCACATCTAATTTGGAACAAATATTTATGCAAAAAAGAAATGTTAGGTAGCAAATTAGTTAGTAGCGTTGGTTTCTGTAGCCTACATGAGATTTCTGAATCCAGGGTGGCAGGTTAGTGATTTTGGGCCTTGAGAAATCAGGCTGGCAATGCGTGATATGGTGAACATGCGTTGAGTATGCCAGAACTGGGTTAGACTGGTGCTTTATAGGTAGTGTGAAGAGTTTGTGGAACTGTGGTTAAAATAAACAGAAACTTAGAGAAGAGTGAAAGTAACCAAAGCCTTGTACTGCTTTCCTTGATATTTTTTTTTCCAGGGAGGATATTGTCCAAAAATAAGTGCCAGTATCTTGATAAAAAAAAATTGGAGCATTAATTTTTCTCAAAATCATTAGTTTAGGGCTTACCTCTTAAAAGCTGTACTTGAAATCAAGAGACCTGCAAGCAGTGGAAGTGGTTGAGGGTTTGCTGAGATGATGCAATCATGGTGGTATAAACCTGTCCCTTCAGCCTGACCTGTCTGTCGAGTTTTCGGTTTTGTTTTTAAACAGGGGCATGGTCCGTGTGGCATTTCAAGAGTCATCTTGGTAGTCCTGTGTTTTACCAATCCACATCCTGATAATCATACCGTATTTTGGTATCTGAGGCATGTATTTTAGATAAATTCAGAAGCACAAGAAAAAAATGTCATTACCCAGTTCAAGAACTTAATTGCTTCAACTTCTGTTTTCAGGAAGTTTCTGTTTCCATATGTTATTTCGATTTAGTATTTTGTTGTGTGGCATCTGTGCCACATGAAGGTAGTGATGCTGAACAAGTAACGCATAAATACATTAGCAATTATCACCAGCAAAATCTATAATAGACTTTACCCATATTGTCAGGTATTTCTAGTTTTTAATGCTCTGCATGTTGGAACAGAGCATATCCTTTATATTTCTGTTTTGGTTTGTGGGGGTTTTTTTTAGTAACTTTTAAACTTTTATTTTTATGGCGCCTGTGGGCTTGGTATCTTCTTTTTACTGTTGTTTGAAGGTGGGGGGAGTAGCCAACTGCTAGCAAGTGCTGTCCTCATTTAAGAGCAGCTCATTTGTTTGCTTCTGTCCAGATGCATATTGTACTTTTCTGCCTCTTAAATGTGTTATTTTTAAAATTGGTCCACAAGTATTTTAAGATGCATATCTACAGTTTCTAAAGTACGTCATTAAAGTTTGAGTATTCTGTTTGCTAGGTATTTAAATAACTTTTGATGCAAGCAAATTTTTAGAGGAATCTAATTTTTTTTAGGAAACAGGTAATTATTTTTGTGCATAAGAATTCTATGGTATGTGTTTGCCATTCTGCCTGGTCATGCACTTCTCCCTCTTGCGCCGAAAACACTTGAAATAACTTCTGAGTCTTTTTTTCCTTAAACTGCAAATTAATTTCCAGTAGCAGATTTTAGGATTTTGGGTTTCTGAAAATCATGTGCAACAGAAATTTTGTGCATAGCGGAGGCATTTTACATTAGTGCCATCTTGTATGGATGATATCTGTAGCTTTTTAAGAAGGAATTTTAAATTAATTCCAATTAAATAGGTATGGAATGGCGTTTGCAAAGGGATAAGCTACACGATACGTAAGGGAGATGCTAAATGTAACTACTAAGCAGTAGTATTTGTTTGAAACTACAGTTCTAAACTAGAGCAAGGAGAACACCAGTTCTCCTTTGTGTAGTCTGAAATGTAAATTTGTCAGATTACGAACTCTGCTTATTTGAAATTATTAGGTCTTAATATTTTTGTTTTTTCTTTTTCTTCCGCATTCCCCTTCCTTCCCCTCTCCAGCTAAATGGCCTTAAAATGGCAGATGAGCCCATGGAAGAAGGTGAACCATATTCCTACCACGTAAGTATGTTTGATAGACGTTCAGTTTAGACGCTCATTAGCATGACTTCCTTTTGAAGCAAAATTTCTGCATTCCCTGCTCTTTAATAACTTTTGAACCTATAATTTTATTTGACCAGATCTGAAGAAGCTCTAAGTCTCAAAGATGATTTTAAAAATTAGTACCTGGGTAGGGGCCGTAAGTGCCTTGTTTTGGAAAGTTTGCCACATGAGGCAGTGCTTTATGGAAAATAAAAAGCACTCTCTGTGTGCTGGAGAGAGCATTTACAGATCCCTCGACCTCAGAAAATGCTTGGGCCAACCTTGAACCTTTTATACACCATGTGCTTAATGTTGCTTTTATTACACTGTTATGTGTTCTTTGTATTTTTAATGTAGGTGCTGTACGCTCATCTAGAGGGTACTTAATTCCTGCTATTTTAGAACAGAAGTAATTTTTACACTAATATGTTAATTTGACTTCTATGTAGAAATACCCCAGATGAAGCCTGTTGAGCATGATTTTTGTCCTGTGCCTTGGTGACTTGCACATGTAGGAGATGCTAAAGATGAGTGTTCCGTATGCTGGCTAAATCTGGGACTAAACTTCGGGCTGATTCTCGATGTGGTGAAATGCCTGACTTTTCATGGAAAAACTGGCCATCGGTTTTCAGCACACACCTCCATGTATTTTTTAACAGGATCATGCAAGAAGTTAGCAAGTAGATCTTGGTGCCAGCTGGAACCACTGCTTTGTATTGCAATAAAAACTTTTTGAGTAAGTGATCTGGAGAATAAACTCATGGGGGTAGAAACGTGGTGCTGGTACATTTCCTGGTGTGGAGCAAGTATAGGAACCATCAGTGTCAGAGGAGCAGAGAAAGACGAGCAGTGGGTTGTCTCAGTCTTTCACCGTACTTGAACCAGAAGGATGTTGCTGAGCTTGTTTGTTCAGTGCTTGGAGCTACGTACCAGTCAAGCTGTAACGAAGTAAGATGGCACAAAGCCAGAACCGATTGCGGCATTTCTTTCAGGGCTTTGTCTTCTGTTGAACCTGCTGGGAATCGTTGCCTCTTGTGCAAGGCGACTCGGTGGGAGCTGGTACCTGAGCCCTGAGATAAATTTGCTTCTCTAGCAGCAGAGCACAAAGACAGATAACCAAATTTGCAGTTCATGCAGGCCAAACTCCAAATGAAAATGAAACTGGTTATATATCTGTTCAACCCATACGTCAGTCATGTCAATTTTTAGTACTTCAATGATAGTTAAATAGATGAAATTATATAGACATTTGTTGTAAAGGTAAAACATTTTATACAAAATAACTCATTTCATACATCTCAAGTTATTCTTTATTTCCCTGGAAAACATTTTCCTCCTCAGTTCACATTTAGAAATACTCTGTCTCCGCAGCAACCACGTGTGATGTCACAGGCTAATGACTCAAGGTGGGTGATAAACAGAAGAGCAGGTGAACTCTTAAAGGTCTTTTTTCAGGCAAAGGTTCACAGTGTTCAGGAACACAAGTTAGGATGGTGAAGTAAAAAGGCTTCTGAATAAAGTATTTACATATTTAATAGAAATAGAAAGAACCAGCCATTGTGTCTGTTGTACAACTTGGTGTATAACTAGATGACTTGCTGCTTTCATCTGTCGTCAGACGGCTTGAAATGCTGGTGGTCCTACCTGCCTTAGATTCCAGGCATGTGTTTAAAAAAAAAAAAAAAAATGTGCATCTTTCCTATGAAAATGTATATGCATAGTTAGCAAGATGGATGGATCTAGATAATTCTGTATCAAGTCTGATAATGCTGATTATAAGTTTTAATGCATGGTCTTGGGCACCAAGAATTTCTGTAGTCAGCCTGATTATAGAATGATGTTCTTTGCTAAAGCCAGCTGTTTCATCAAGTGCTCAGGTCTTTTTCTGGTGCTGTTTGTACCTGTCACTGAGGGGAAGCAGTGCCCTGTAGGTTGGTAGGGTGTTTTTCTGGTCTCTCCTAAGAGAAGCTTTCAAGGGGAAGACCTAAAGAGAGGCTAGGAGGACAGTTAATAATTTGGATACCCTAAAAGCAAAGTACTACAAATCAGATGGGATTTTCTGCTGCGATTGGGTTGTATTTCACTGGTATTCTTGATAGGGCCGAGGGGTGCTGCTCCTTTTCTACATGAAAGCTGAGGTTGCTGTTGTAGGCCTTAGCACATAATTTTTAGTTTTGAGGGCACTTATTTTGACATCTGACTTGTTTTGGTTCACAGAACCTTCTCTTACACCACGAAAGCTGCAATACATCATCTGATTTGTTTTCGTCATGAATGTTTGTCTTTTCACAATGGTAGCTGCTGTGCCCCTGCTTTGCTAAAGATGAGAGTAACAGGAAAAAGTCAACAGAACACTAAATCTTTTGCCTACCTCAGAATTACCCTTGACTTTCTGAAGGAGGTCTGCACACAGGGGAGTCTTTCCATGAGCTCTGCGCCCCAGAGCTGCGTTTCTTCTACTGGGTGCAAGAAGTCAGAGTTCTTAAGATGACTCATATCTTATTTACGCTCTTCAAACGATGCATATTCCTTTAGCCGCAGCTGCATGACCGTATTTATTATTTGCTGCTGTGAAAAGCAATAATTACCTGAAATTATGAAATTCATTTTAGCTTTCATTAAGCCTATTTCAGGAAAGGGAAAGATGAGAAGAGTAATCACCGGGAAAACTAAAGGCTGCTAAAACAGAGGTGAAGCACAGAAGGATCATCTTGGACTTGGTTTAAAAGTCTGTATTTATTCCTTTCATGTAAGAAAACCCATCTTTGCTGTAGCTGTAATATTTATGATGAAAGGAAATGAGCATTCTTTGAGAATTTTATTTCAGTTTAGGAATTTTAGATGCATTTCTTTAAGAAAAGATGGATGGGAAAACTCTTCATTTGAACAGCTTTCTTTTATGCCTTATTAGAATTTCAAATATTTTAAAGAAAGAAACAACCGAACAAGACAAGAGCAGGCATTTACATGCACTTCTAACGAGAGTTGCTTAATTCAGGCCTGTTCACTGTTGTGTTTTGTTTGCCTTGAAATAATAGGATGAAGGAAGTGTGAAAGAAATTCCTATTACACACCACGTGAAAGAAGGATGTGAGAAAGCAGATCCAGCACAGTTTGAACTACTTAAGGTTCTTGGACAGGGATCTTTTGGAAAGGTAAGGTAACAAACTGCTTTCATCTGATGTCCACTTTGAACCTGCTTTGGCTTACCTCCCTTATATCTGTAACACTACGAGGTGAGGTATAAACCTGACAGATGTGAGTAAAAGTAGATATGCTCGTGTGGAAATTGCCCTGTTTTGGAGGAACTTATCCATCCTGTTTTGCAGTTGGGTGGGGAGGGGTGTGTCTGTTTTCATTTTTACTATGATAGCGTTTCTGATTTCACATTTTTTTAGAGGAAGAGTGATGTCTTTTTCTGTCGAACTATCCAGACATTCAAGAAAGATAGTGCTGTAGCAGAGCTGCTGGGAATGTTTGAAAAGATATCAACAAATGTTGTCTTTTTCCAATCTTGCTCTGGTGCCAAGGGAGCACTCTTTGTAGCAAGACACCAAATCATTCAAAGCAGCAGCCTCAGTCTCTAGGCAGAAGGGTGAGTCAGTAGCAATTTTGCGGAGGTCTGCCAGGGAAAGTTACGGTTTGCTTTAGCTGAACAGAGAGGCGTGTTTGTGGTTCACCTGGACTGGTATCTGCAGCTTTGTGGGAGCAATGGCACCAACAGCAAGGGATTTTACCAGTTGGGTTGTAGAGTTAGGGGTGGGTTTTATGCAACACCTCTGGTGTTGTCAAGCTCTACCTAATGCCATGGCTGTTTGAAATAAAATAATGTTTTCAACTGCCCCAAGACTTTATTGCAGCATCTAGTGAGGAACCAGAATGAACGATATCTCTGTTCCATATAGGTTGCCTCACATCTTCTGTAGTTTAGGTTGGTGCTTGGGAGGCACCAGCAGGGTAATAAACATCATTAGACACTTCTGGAGGAGATGGTGATTTGTCTTTTAATGATGGTGCTTGACACACTGTGAATGTTTGACTTTTTTCAATATGTGAAATCTGTAGTGATGTAGGTAAAGGAGAATGGTTGTGGTAGTTCTGAACTTGAACCGAAACTGACAAATAACCTGGGAAATGTATTTCAGTTTTTTATTTTTCTGGTTTTGTCCCATGATCTACAGCTAAAAGACACAAAGTGAAGAATTATTCAAATAGTTTATATAAGAAATATGGCAATTTTTTGTTAAAATAATTTCTTCTTGTAGTGTGCCAGTTGGTGTCATATTGCAGAAATTAAAAATCAAATGTCTTGGTCCCTAGTTTGAAACATATTAATTGAAATATTAATCCTAATGTATAAGAAGTTTATTTTTTTTAAAACCAGATGCTCAAACTAGATCTCCTGCAACACATGACAAATTGACAATCAGCTTTATATATGTTTCCATTTTCCTGTTCTGTTGGCTTTGCCTGTCTCATGGCAGGAACAAACCTCTGCATAGAGTTGTATCAGAGAGGAAAAAAGAATTAGACATTAGACAGGCATCCTGTGAATAAATGGTAGTTTAGAAAAGACTTCAAAATATTTCTTAATGTTTTACAGCTTAAGAAGCACTTCTTTATCTGGTAGTGTTGGTTGCCAATTCCCTCATACACTTCTCGTCTTCAGAGACTGAAAGGCTCTGTGTATTTATTGCTCCTGACTCAAGGTGTCTTAAGGTCTCGTGGGGTACGGACATCTTAGCCCTGACTGGGACAGATCCTTACTTTACAGAGTTCAGACTCTGATAGTGCGTAGGGAATGCTCTGGGTCAGAGTCCCCCCAGATTGGTGAGGCGTCTGGTTCAGAGCTTTTGAAAGGCAGTCCTTTGGTTCAGGACCCAGGTTTAGGAACTGGACAGTAACTGTTGCACATCTGAACAGAGCTCTTTTCATCTAGCATTTGTTGTTTTCTGTTGAAAGGGGAAAACAAACAGCGAAGATCGGTGGCTGTTGCCTTGGTGGTGTTTGTGTTCCCTTTCCAGTTCATACTTCCCCTTTGGGTTTGGCAAACACAAGGGTTGTTTGCTCTAGCCCAGTATAGTGCTACATCCCCTACCTGTCTTTTTTGACATCTGTGCAGGATTTAACACCGCTTCATAGAAATTAGGGTTAAACCTCATGGCCGTTACTGAGTTTCTTCAGCCCTTGATAATGTTCTGAGGCTTCAGCACCTAGTCTGCTGAGAATGGTCTTGGATTCGCTTGGGTGAATGGCTTTGCAGAACGTGTCTCCATCTTGATCGTGCTTTACAATTGAACAACTGACCATTGCATCTCCATGAGATGCCGGATTATGGAGACTTTGCAAATTATATAGATGGTGCTTGAGTAGTTTTCAGTGGCAGCTATTTTGGTCCTTATTAGCTAGAATTTGGAACTTGTACATTCTCACAAGCTGCTAGTTAATAAGCATGTACAAATATTTTAGTGCTTAATAATATTTTTACTTTTATAACTGTGACTGTGTTAATCACCAGATGTTTTCTTATTTGCTGGTGTTTGAATTACTTCCTTTACTATTTAAGCATCAACAACATAACAGGAATCAGTGCTAGAGGTCAGTCATTGGGCAAAACTCAAAACAAAAAGCCTGATAAACCTGAAACATTATGACATTTTTAATCTAACCAGAGCTTAAAATAAAAACAAACCTTCTCCCAACCCTGTGCGGTTAGTTCAGTGACAGTGTATGAATTTCTGATTCTAGAATGGAAAATTTGGCCAGCTTATTTGATTTTTTAAAATAATTTCTAGATATTTAATAATTTCTAATAAAGTATATGTAAATAAGCCTAGCTTTAATGAAATCTGAATAAGGTAAGATCAGAGAGGCAATTTTGGGTAGCTCTTGGCATTCTTTTGTGACTTGTACTTTTTTTTTTTACAGTACAAACATTCCTCATAGCTTATAATTGCTATTATAAGAACAACAACTTAGAAAAAAGGAGCACATACCAAACTATTTTGTAAATTGAAAGACCTGGTAGTTAGAATATTAGTCAGTGGAGACACATGTATTTGTGCTGCATCATTTTATCTAATATTATGCTTTTCTCAGTGTCAGGTTATATATCATCTATCTTTAAAACTCCTCTGGAAAGAAAAGAGTAGAAAAACCTGTTGGAGTTGCTATTCCAGAGGGAGAGGGTGCTTTGATGTTAAATGGCGAGGTTTCCTTGCTTTCGTCTCACCACTCTTATAGAATTCATTAATATAGACTGTTACATATTTGAGAATTGGGTCTTAAACCTCAGAAATCTCTTAGGAGGTGGCAGACCAGGCAGGATTGTCATTCTCCAAGACAGTAATATAAAGAAAGGCATTTATATAAGTACTTATTGGATAAGTACTCATTTAAACAGCTTGCTGTAGGAAAGAATGTATAGTTTATGACCAGTCTGAATACTTCAGAGAGCTTGATGGTGTGTGTACCTCTAATCTGACTCAGGGAATGCAATTTTGCTCTTCCTTTAAACATGTGTACTTCCAAACGAACACTGAAAGCTGCCTGAAATTAATAGAGGGTTTGCAAACACTTTGTGATAGTTGCATATTTAATTACTAAGCTTGCTTATGCAAAAAGATTTATTATGAATATTTGGCATCTTTATATTTCTTGGACTTTTTGAGGAATGGGACTAGGGACATGCTGTCTCCTTGTCTCTATTAATGAAGTTAAAAGTGAAGACGTAATAATGCTTTTTTAGTGAGGTTGATGTAGTGTTTACATAAAATATTTTTAGCAGTAATTTTATAAGTGGTGTTTATATTACCAGGTCTTCCTTGTACGTAAAATAATTGGTCCTGATGCTGGGCAACTTTATGCCATGAAAGTTTTGAAAAAAGCTTCTTTAAAAGGTATGTGTATCTTTTGAATTGGAACTTTAGAAAATGGTTTTCAGTGCACTTTTTTATCTTAAATGAGGCTTGTAAATGCTTCTTTCTTTTTTTTAATCTTAAATGTTTTTCAGTGAGTTCATAACTCTTCTCTGGCAGTATCTTTTTTCTAGAGTAACTTGTAAGTTCATGTTTAAGAAAGATTTTAAATCTGGCCAGGTAGCTTTAATTATGTAGTGGAAAGTACTCTTTCAAAGTTTAAAATTGCATTATTTAATCCTCTTTAGTCTTTTCACTATATTAAAACAATTTAATAAACAATTCTCTTGTTGTCTTTTGTGAAGTTGGAACTCTACTGTGGTTAAAATTATGAAGCCTTTCCCTCTTGTTATAGGTGCCATAGCAAGCCAACGTGCTGTTCTGGCTTTCAAAAGGCATTTTAATAGATGCAAGTCTGCTGTGTTTGGATAGGGACTGTTATGAGTTAAAGAGGAAAAACGAATCTTAAAAGACAGAAAATATATATCCAGTACAGAGTTAATTCAGAGGTTGAAGGTAGCTGCCTGAAAGTGTGGATGTGAGCTTTTTTTCTTGAAAGTAATATGGATTATCACAAAATATTGGGATATGTCGGAGAAAAAAATAAAGACAATCAGGAAGTTAGGGCAGGTAAGAAGCAAAATAGAGTTTTGCTGTCTGAAAGCATGTGTTGTAAAAGTTAAAAACAAGGTAACAAGGAAAAGTATTTCTTTAGACGAAAGCATGTGTTGTAAAAGTTAAAAACAAATAAGGTAACAAGGAAAAGTATTTCTTTAGAAAGCAAAGGCTTTCCACAGGCTTAATTTCTGCTCCCTTTGTATTATACCAAATACATTTGTTTCATAGTAGTCTTTTTTTTCTTTTTGTTTCCTCAGTTCGGGATAGAGTTCGTACAAAAATGGAGAGAGATATATTAGTAGAAGTAAATCATCCATTTATCGTCAAACTGCACTATGGTTGGTATTTTTTTTTTGTTAGTTTCTTTACTTGAAGGCATAACTGATCTTGTTCTTTTTCAGTTTCGTAGTGTTCAATTTAGGTTCTAGCAACTTTAAATCACAGGGCTAAAAAGGAATGTAAACACACGTGTCTATGAAAGTTTTAGGTTAAGTCCTCTTGAAATTAAAGATTTGGAAAATTCCTACAAGTTGTGCAGAGATATTTTACTTTTCATTGAGTAAAACCAAATCCCAGTAATTAACATACTTGATGTTTCCCTGTTTGACAAAGGAGAGAGAAATGAACAGTATTTTAATGATTTCTTATGACTAAGGTTGTCTTGTGTGAAGAAGCAAGAAATCATTCAATAAATTACCTCGTGCTGCTGAATTATTTCAGTTCCATAACAAAAGTATTGCCTTTCACTGAAGTTTCCAAGTTTTAAGAGCATTCAGATCTGTTTTGTAGATCATCTTTGTCACACGATTGATTTTTTTTCTAATTTTTTTTAAAGCCTTTCAGACTGAAGGGAAGCTATATTTAATATTGGATTTTCTCAGGGGAGGAGATGTATTCACGCGATTATCCAAAGAGGTAAGCACCAAAAATTTTATCTCAGCTCAGTGTTAGGGGTATTTTTGTCAGTATAGGATTGTTTTCTATAGCTGTTTCCCCCATATTTCTTGTCATAGACAAGTCTTTAATAATTTAGTTGGGTGTCCCTTACATATTCTAGAATATATTCTATAACCTTAAACATGAGTGTGTATTGATTAGTAGCCTAAGTTTTAATTTGGTATCTGCAAGGTACAATTCTTCTGTCTGAAAGTGTTTTGTTGCTTGGAAACCTAACAGAAGTAAATTAAGATTTAGCAGTCAAGAAAGGGGATGTATCGTTGTGTTCCCAATCAGCTTAGGTGCTCCTAGAAGACCACATCTCTGAGATTTCTGCTGCATTGTAAAATTTCGTAATACTCTAATAAAATCCTAATGCTTGATCTCTCAAAGTGTGAACACTGAATATTTTTGAGACCGCTCCCCTTCATCTAACATTGGCATGAAACTGGAACTTTGATTTTTCATTTTTATTTTTGTTTTCTGGAGGGAGAGCTTCAGAGGAGGGAATGTGACAAAGCCTGATTTTTTTTTTTTTTAAACATTTGTCATAAAATATTTACTATATGTTACCTTAAGTATTACAAACATATTTATAAGACTTATTTTCTTTCTGCAAACCTTTAAAGATGTAAGTTTTTAATGGCAGTTTCTCAACAAATTCAGAGTAAGAGCTTTTCAGTGTTTTCAATAGCGTAAATACATTTATATTGCTAATGCATAGGAAAAACCACTTTCTTAAATGAGAAAACTGGGTATCTGATTTTTCATGACATGAAGGAGGTTGTGGTATCCCCAGTATGTAAGGCCATGAGATAGTTTGGCTTTTTTTCCCCCCTATATACTTTTTGTAAAAATAAAGCAGGCAAAAGAGAAGGAAGAACTTAAAGATGGTTTTGTTTTCCTTTTTTATAAAAAGCTGACCTTGGCAAAACAGTGATCATGTCTGAGAACTGAGCTCCAAATTAATTAACCATGAGGCTAATATGGAGGTTAAAAGCTTAAACAAACCAACCAACTTGTAAAGGGTTATTGGAACAGTAGGTAGGAAAGAGGTCAATCTCTGCTTTGATACAGGGTGTCTAATTATAGAGGAGATTCTGGTAGAGCAGGAAGAACGATTCTCTTGCGCTAACACAGCTGGGGTTACTGAGTATGCAACATTCTAAATTAAGGGATGCAAGTCCGTTCGTAATACTAGCTGGGTGGTTGGAAGAGGTATGTATTCCCTTTGGGAATAAAGAACTAATAATTGTAAAGTTTTCTTGCTGTTAAGGCTCTACATGTTTTTGGAAGACTTCAGTTACTTTCTATGCTATCTTTTAAACACTATGTATATAGATAAAAAAAATCAGACCTTTTTGTTTTCTGGTGGGGAGACCAGGTATTTTCAGAAGTACATGGTAAAACAAAGACAGTGGACAGTACACACGAGGATAAATTCCCCATGGCATTTCATACTTTCTGCACGAGGATTATTTTAAATTAGTTCGGTTTAGTATGAGGTTATTAAAACACTTTTGTTGGGTTTTAAATTATAATGTGGGTCTGAGAGTTTCAGCTGTGGAAGTGAAATGAGTATATAATGAAGTTTTCATTGACAACATTTAATGATGTTCACTTGCATCATGTTTAATTTGACACAAAAAGTAGTTTTAAATTAAATTATTATTGGGGGATTGTAGATTACCATCTAACATATTATGAGATTTGCATTTTGACTACTCCAAGGAGTAATGATATCCAAGGTTTCCTCTTGATCTTTTGGATATAGGCTCAAAATAGTATCAGCATCGCTCTTTAAAAAAATCAAGGTGCAACTTTGTGTAGCGTAACAGCTTTATTGTTCATGCAATGTTAATACCTATCATTATGGAAATCAGGAAGGTTTCTGTTGCCAGTAGAACAGATTACATATGTGCAGTTCAAAGTACCGGTTAGTGTGCTACTAAATTGGTAAGCCCGGTTGCCTTAATTTAAGTCTCGCTAGCTATCTACTGTGCAGTTGAGACAGCTGTTTCCCTTGTTCGTGGTGTTTTCAGGGAATAGTTCACTTAAATAGTTCATTTAAATCTCAAATTCAGTTCCAGTAACTTAGAGATTACTAGCATCTCTACAATAATTTGTAGAACATAGAGCCAAAGCTGGTATGATTCTTGTATATGGAATTAGAAGCAACCTGTTGGGTATTTAGGATAGAAATGCATCTCTCAGATTCTCTATATGGAACATCAGTCAGTTTTTTAGTATCTCACTAGGGTTGTTCAAATGTCCTTTCCCAAGAAGAGCAGAGTGGGTTCTTCAGCTCCCACTGCAGATTTTCACATTGTTGTTATTTTCACCAAAGTGTTCTATTTTGCATATTTTTTCTAAATTATTTCTATTTTTTTTTTCTAAGTAATGTGAATTCAGAGGCAGTCACCCAATACAGCAGTTGTATACTAGATTTTACGATGCAGTGGAAAACAGTCTGTATAGGACTGTGGCAGGAGTGCTGGTGGTCAGTAACACCAAACAATTAAATTTGTTACCTTAGAAGTTAGCTAACGCTCTGCAATAACTGCTGATTGTTTTAAGTATTGCAGGTAGTTATTTTGTGTACTTGATGATTAGCCTGTATTAGTATTTCATTTCTGTTAGGTGAATTAGTGATTTATGAGTTCATAAGGTACTTCTAAAACTTGTTTTGAAATGTAGGCGGACAGGAGTATTTTTTTTAGATTACAGTTTTAAAAACTGAAGACAAGATCAGAAGGTAAATCTATACAGTTCTTATTAGGTTATGTTTACAGAGGAAGATGTGAAATTCTACCTCGCAGAACTGGCCCTTGCTTTGGATCACCTGCACAGCTTGGGAATTGTATACAGGGACCTGAAGCCAGAAAAGTAAAGTAAAATGTATTTTACCGCTATTATGTGTATTTTGCTTGTTGCTTTGCATTTTCACTCTAGTGATGTAAAAATTTTAAAATAGTTTTGCTAGACTATGAAAACAAACATAAAACGTAAAAAATATATGTATGATTTAAATGTAATAATATTAACTTGTTAAATTAATAACAGAAGTTGGAGATCAACATTGTTAACTGTTATATTTTAATATTGTATGCAAATGTTCCTCTTTATGTGTATTGGTGAATGTGAATTTTAATTTTCAGCATTTTGCTTGATGAAGCAGGACATATCAAGTTAACAGGTAGGTAACACTTACTAGTATAGCATTTTCTGAACATATTTCTGTATAAGCTTTTAGTTATAAGCCTAAGATATGTGTAGTGATGGCTGGAGTATGCGTGAGCCAGTATTTATCAGTTTAGAAAATTTTTTATTGGATGGACTTTTTATAATAAATCTGTATCCCTTCCCTGTATAATGATTTTTTTTATGTGAAATGCCTTTTAACCAAAAATCAAGAGGTTATAGACTCAGGCTAAAGTTGCTGAGACTGCTGAAAGAGAGCAGAGGTGCTTTTGGTGTAAAAGATTTTAGTGCAGAATAAGACTTCTGAAATACTGCTCTTTTGCATTTCTGGATTATCACTTTTAAATGCATATAAAATTGCAGAAAAATGTTCCATGAGGAACAGTTAAAATACATCTCTTCTAGGTAATTATATATACAGAAAACTGAGTGTTTGGAAAACAAATTGCTATGAATTTCAGAAAGCTTTAAATTACATTTAAGGTGATAAATATATAAATTTCATTATCTATTTTGACCTACAGATATTGCTGTTAGATTCCAAGAGAAAAAGTAGTTTTTTACACTCTCAAAGACTTGATGGAATGATGGTGATAGAAAACATGTTTATAAAATGCATCTGTTTTGAAATTCTGCGTGATATATTTAAATCCAATTCAATCTTGAAATTCTCACTTCCTTCTGAAAGTGGGAGGAATAATTGATGGGATTATTGATCAGCAGTCACTTGTCCTCTGAAAACAGGGATGCTTGAGAGCCTCCTCTTGAGAGTTGAGCTAGTATCGAGGACTAGTGTTCAGTGGCATTGTTCAAACTAGGCAAAAAAGGGTATTCTGGGAATGAAGCGAGCAGATATGCAAGACTCTACTGAACTTGAGTCAGGTTGCAGAAATATGTTGTCTTATGTAACAACAATATTTTTAGTCTGATTTTATTTATTCATCACCCAGTAATGCTAGACTATGCAAACTGCATTCTCTCTGAAACTCATTTTCACTGCTATCCAGTTTTTTGTGTGAATAAAGCAGCCAGTAAAGAGAAAATGAGAACTTCTGATTATCTTAGGGCTCTCAATGTGTAGTATTTCACATACTGAATTATTTTGATTAATAATATTGATGGCTAATCATCAGTTTAATGACTTCTAGAATGGTTTTGGTGGTACGGAGTAAACTAAATGTCTGAAGTATCTCTAGATATCTTCAGTTTCTTGTTCCATGAAGTGCTAGAATAATTGCATAATATTCCTGAAAGGAAACAAACGAGATCTGTCAACACTTTGATTTTGAAATACCATATACAGTATTGTGGTTTTTTTCCCTCTCAAGTTCTTTACTGGCTATATTCTTGTAATGCTGTTGTTGTAGACTTTGGACTCAGCAAAGAATCAGTAGATCAAGAGAAGAAGGCGTATTCTTTCTGTGGTACTGTAGAATACATGGCACCTGAAGTAGTAAACAGGCGAGGGCACAACCAGAGTGCTGACTGGTGGTCCTTTGGTGTTCTCATGGTACTGTATGCTTCCTTGCTTACCTTGCTTAAGGTCACAAATACGCTGCATATATCTAAGTGAATGTGAAATAATGTGTTTAGAATAAGCTTGTCCAGATCTAATTATGAATGTTTGGGTAAGGGGAAGACAGAACTCAATAGCTGAATTGCTACTGACATAGCAAGTTGAATAAAATTTACTATTCACCTCCTTAGCCCTGTAAGGAGTACATATCAGGAACCACAAAAATCATACGTATAGCCCATTAGTAGTTTAGAACAGTTGTAGTCAGGGTGAAACTACAGTTTGTACATTTATTTCGCATGGTTCTGGATAGTTAAAGAAAAGAAATCTGAAGACTTGGTTTGATGGAATATTAATTGTGTTTTTGTAAGAGTAAGCCTGTTGAATGGATACTGGAGTAGTGAAATTAGTAACTGCTGTCACTTATGCCTTTGCCATGATGTGTTAGAGCATCAGGCTGAAATATGTGTATTGACATTAAAAGTGAAGTATTGGTTTAGAATTTTTTCTTCTTACACTTCTCAGAGTATGGCGATGTCTAAAACTTGGTTATGGAGGGGATACTATGACTTTAAAATAGCTTATGAGTATAAAATGTTCCTACGTCGTCATTATGTTACACTTGCCGCTGTTATTATCATGTAAACTGCCAATGAAAACAAAATTTTAGATTTGTGAACTTTTTTGCTGATCTTTTAAAAGCTGAAGCCAGCATGTCTAATGTAGCGATAGGGAAGAGTACAGTAGTTAATGCTTTGTTTCAGTGGTTGGGGGAGGAAGTGTTGATTTAGATTAACGTTTGTTCTTTTCAGTTTGAAATGCTTACTGGTACACTACCATTTCAAGGTAAAGATCGAAATGAAACTATGAATATGATACTGAAGTAAGTATATCTTCTTACTTTTTGGAAAGTCAGAAAATGTAATTTTTAAGCATGTTTTAACAGCTTGTTATAACTCCTTGTGCTTGAAGAGCGTTAAGATAGAACAGGAATGAAAGAGCCAAGCCCCTTCTCCAGCAGGGTTTAGATCACGGACCTTGCAAATACTGTTAAGTACTTGCAGGAATTAAAATCTAAGGGATTAACTTTTCATTGTAGGTGTATAAGAAAGATGAAATAGTACAGTGGCTTACAGCAGCGTTATTTATCACTTGTGGTTATGCTACTGCTACAGCATACCTTCTGCTGTAAGCAGTAGGTGCTTTGTGTAGGTATATATGGAGAGTGCACTTACATGCTCGCATTCTTCATATTCAATTACCACTGTTACAACAGAAGCTGTCTAACGAGACAAACTGGGTAAACTGGTGATTAGTAGGTGAAGTTGTTGGGCAACCATGTTCTCCTCTTCGTTTGTGCTTAGCTAACAAAGAATTTCCTTTAGACCACATGCAGAGCCTTGGGCCTTTTGAGGGGGTGATAGGGAAGGGGATGAGAGAGACGCTCTGTTCTTACCAACATGCAGCAGTTTGAACTTATCCTGAGCGTGAGTTCACAGTGATGTTACCTGTGATAGCAGATGAATTAGTTCACTCGCCTCACTTGGAGCTCTAAGTGATGGTACAGTCCTGCAGGAGAATTTCTTGCCTTAGCGTAGTTGTTTTCATAAGATAAGCTTGGTAAAGTCAGTAAGCTTTTATATGATGGCTCAATTAGCTACTTCTTGAGGCTCTTGCTGCAAGAGAAATATTAGCAATCACTTCAGGGGCAGGTAATTTGGGATTTGGGGAGTTTCTTCTGATGTTGATTCAGGTAGAGGTATTTTGGTGATAACTTCCTGGTGACGTGAAGATATCTTTGAAAATACTTATGTATTCCTGAGATAATAGTTTTACTCTATTTTAGCCTAAAGCTTGTTTTGGGGACATGGGTGGGATTTGGGGTTTTTGGTCTGGTGTGTTTTTTTTTTTTTTTTGGTTGGTTGGGTTTTTTTTCTTCTAGAAAACCACTCGTATAATGTGAAACTTAAAGCTGATGAGTTAAATGTGTACATTGTACAAGACTTTGGAGTAGATCCTTGATACATCAAATTGTGCAGTGAAGTCTATGTAAGACAGTTCTTAGATATATTTCTTCTTCTTTTTCTGTTTTCCTTTAGAGCAAAACTTGGAATGCCTCAGTTCCTCAGCCCTGAAGCACAAAGTCTTCTGAGGATGTTGTTTAAAAGAAACCCATCAAATAGATTAGGTTGGTTCATTCATTTGGATCTTTCAAATAGGAGTAGTTGGGTTGAGTTGATTATATAAAGAAAGTAGTTGCTAAAGACTCTAAAGCTCTGGATGGTCAGTAACATTTGGGTTTAGATACCATTTCTTGTTAGCTTGGATCATGATTTCCTGGGTTTGGCTAATGAATGATTACTTTCTTGGCCCAGTGACTCTTAGCAGTGAGCCAAAGCTTTGACAGTGTCAGAGCAAAGAATATTGACTCTGTATTTATGGGCTGCTTGTACTCTGCCTCCCGGATGAGGTATACACTACTTGGGATATTTCTGCATTTACAGTTCTCTCAAATAACCATGTCTGTGCAAATTTTTTAGAAATGGACTAATTTTTAGTGTAATCTTCTTCAAAGATTTTACACAAAAGTGTTTAAAATACATTATTTTCTTTGTTCAGGAGCTGGTTCAGATGGAGTTGAAGAAATCAAGAGACATCCTTTTTTTTCTACTGTTGACTGGAATGTAAGTACAAAATTATCTGAATGATAAAGCTGTTTTTAATTTTTCTGTGTGTTGTAGCATTATAAGTATTTACATCTGAATAGGGCACAATAAACACTGCAGTACTGCTCACTGACATTCTGGCTTCTACTATAATCTTCATTGGCATCTGGAGCTGTAGTATTTATGGTGTAGAGTGTATTAATTATAAATTGTGCATTTACTTTTTAAATTATTAAGAGTTGTGGCATTCTACAGCTTAAGTTATCTGTTAGCATTTGTAGTTGGGAGAAGATGCTGATGTTCCCTGTATGCAAGAATTCTTTTCTTCAGTCAGCATCCATCTAGTGCTTCCATGCAGGGCACAGGAACTCTGTGGCTGTAATTCTCTTTGACTTCTCTCTAGCCACAGCACGTTCCTATTTTGTCAGTCATGTTCCTTTCACAGCTGGAGTATTGACTCTGGTGCTCTGAGGGGATCAGAAGTCTGTACAAGTTCGTGATTGATTGCTTAAATTTTTAAAAAGCATCTTAATGCATTTTCTCTGCGGTTCTCTGAGCTTTTGAGGTGTGTTTCCCAGAAACATTCCCAAAACTATGATGCTCTGTATCAAATAAATCCACTCTGGAAACACTCCTTTGCTATAATGCCTACAAAAGGATAGACGCAATAAATAAGACATGGCTGTGCTGGCAGGACTACCTGCAATGCTGGCCAATACTGTGCTCAGCTGTTTCTTTAAGGCCTGTTGTCTTTATCTCTTGTATTTGCTTCCAAGGTGGTTCTCTAGCTGTGTTTGTGCAGCATCTGCTATGGAGTCCTGATTAGCAAGTAGAGTTTGCCATAACACAAATCTTCACTGTTTTATAGGAGTACAGTTCGTAAGAGAAAGCGGGGTTATTACAGCTTATCTACTTTTTTTTTTTTGTAAGGAACTGACATTGAAATAAATAGCAGAAAGGAAGTTTGAAAGATCTGCAGTTCTCTATTTTTTTTTCTATTGCAGTTCTAACTTTTTTTTTTAGCTTGCCAGTGCTTTGTATTTATTTTAATAATGGTGGTGCTGATGACCACTTCTGTATTGAATCTCCTCATTTCTTTGGGATGAATTCAGGTCCCTTTTCCTTGGGTTTTTTTTTTTTAATTGAAATATGTTGCATGTTCATGTGCAGGAAGAGCAAATTAAAAGAACTGCAAAAAATAGGTCTGAAAGGATGAGAGAAATGCCAAGATGATGTTCTCAGAACTTCCTGAAGTTTGCATGTGGCTTCAAAGTCATTTGACATGGAATTTTCTCTTCTGTAGTTGTAAATGGGAGTTATTGCTGATTTGAGACCACTTGGGCAGTGCATTTTTGTAAAGCATGTTGAGTAAAGAAGGAAAAAAAGGAGGAGCCATTGTTGCCCAGAGGGATATGCCTGTCTCTTATGAGGTCTTTGGGACCCCAAATAGAAAGATAAAGACTGTATTCCATATCTTCCCTTTGGGGTGGGTTTTTCAGGGTTCTGACAAAAGAGTGAATCAGGTCTGAGATGATGATAAGAAGGTAAGTTTCAGAAGTACAGATCTGGCACTTGAGGCAGATTCAGAAGAATAAGGAGAAAGAGCACTCTATTGTTTGATTTCTTTGGTAATATTTCCCATAGCATTTCAAAACAAAGGTACATGAAAGTAACTGTTTTTCATATATATTTGTGGTTTTCTACTTGCTATATTGTATTCACTCTTTCAGAGAACTGTTTTAATACAGCAATAACTTTTGAGTTGCTTACCCTTTAGCTTGGCAAAATTACAGCACTTGTGGAAGTTTCATTCACTCTTAGTTACATGACTTTGTCCTTCTACTTTAGAAACTGTTCAGAAGAGAAATTCAACCCCCATTTAAACCTGCTTCTGGAAAGCCAGAAGATACCTTTTGTTTTGATCCAGAATTCACAGCAAAAACACCAAAAGGTAATTGTGCGTGGTTATAAATTGGTGAGGTTCGTGGGACAAGAGGGGTCCAATGAATGTTACAACAACAAAGCTTACTAAGAGGAAAAGCCAGTGATGAAATGAAAAGGAGAGGGTGCAGCAGGGCTCCAGTACTTTGAACGAGTTTGTTCTGTTCCATAGGTACCTACTCTTTGAAATATTCTGCTAAACCTTGATTCACCAAAAAAAAAAAAAGTAATATTAACAGCTGAATTATGGCATCTAGTTATGGTTTAAAGTCAGACATGCAGTGTTTGGTGGGGGGAGTACTTAATACAATACTAAAAGTAAACTAAATTTGATTGTAGCTGTGATTGTTCTTAAAGTCAGTATTCCACTGAAAATGACTTGCTTTAAGTAACTTTCTTGAGCCTATTAATTGTCATCATTATTAAAATTAAATCTTAAAGCTAGCATTATAATAACTTTTTCATTGAACTGTTCCTTTGACTGCCCATGCTGGATTTGACTTTAGTTGGTGTTTCAAAGGTAGAGAAGGGTGAGGAAAGTGTACAGCGGACAGGGTCCCTGTACTACTAGACCAGTTGCAGAGACATCTCAGTTTCAAGACACTTGTGAAAATTTACCTTTAAAATATCCCTAACATTATTGCACTCTGAAAATTTCCAAGTAACTGAACTTGAAATCAAAGACAGTAAGTGCAAACCCTTATGGCTTAGTATGCCTCAAGTTTCCCCTGAGGTTTTCTTTTGTGAATTTTTTTTCTTTACTGCTATGTCCAACTTTTGGAACCACTTGTTGTGTTTGTTTGGAGAATGTCTGTGGTTCTAATAGGCTACGTGGGTTTATCAAGCTGTGCTTACTGTGAAATTTCAAACAGTGAACTCAGAGGTGCACATATTATATGTAAAATATAATCTGAGGAAGATTGGTTCTAATTATTCAGTAGTATTGCTAATTGAATATTGTGTTGCCTCTCTTCTGCCTTGCCAGCAGTACATATACCACTGAAGAAGCCAAGTCTGTGGACACTCTTGTTTGTTATTCAGTCCTTGAACCATAAGACTGATCTTTATTTCTTTGTCATAAATAGTTTTGTATTTCAGCAAACTTCTTCCTAAAAACATGTATTAATGCGTTAATTCCTGCAGTGTTTTGCAGTTTTGGTTAAAATCCAGGAATACTGGCTTTGTTTGTTGTTGAAATAAGAGAAGACAGATAACTAACTAGAAACTTTCTTGAACATCTGGTGTTACTCTTGTTTGGTTCCCTTCCCTCGAAATATTTCTTCTGATGTATTTCTCCTGAATGTTAAAAAATAGCCTTGCTGGGATATAGCCATGCTAATCAAATGTGTATGCCACTAGATTCTCCAGGAGTCCCACCCAGTGCGAATGCTCATCAGCTCTTCAAAGGATTTAGTTTTGTTGCAACTACTACTGTAGAAGATCACAAAATATCACCACTCACCAATATACTGCCGATAGTACAGGTAACATTTGATTTTTCAGGAAACTTTTTTGTCGTGCTAAAGACTGACCAATATTTAGTGTTTATAGTCTGTTCTTTTTTTGTTGGGGAGACTATTATAAAATGTGCGTTATTCAAATGCTTCTGGGGGATATCTTTAAATTTTAAAAAGCAGGTTGGTGTTTTTCTGGAGGCAGAATTCAAAAGAGAAAGCATGGGCAAGCAGAAGAAACTTCTGCTGTTGAAACAGTGTAAGGGCAAAGAGTGTGTCTTATTGCTTCACATAACAGCTTGTATGTGTTTGGTTTTCTTAAAGCAACTTCACGGAAACAGCGCCCAGTTTACTGATGTGTATGAACTGAAGGAAGATATTGGTGTTGGTTCCTACTCTGTTTGCAAGCGATGTATACACATAGCTACGAATATGGAGTTTGCTGTAAAGGTACTTGGAACAAATTTCACTGTGACAGTTCTGAAATTATTGTGTAGCAGACTTGTAAACCTAACTGCAAGAATTTTCCAGTTACTGTAGCTGTTTATACGCTGTGAGAAATGAAAACCGGTGTTCACTTCATTTGTTTAAATTGTGTGTTGGCTCCTATAGCTCTTCTTTTAGTGGGTGAGGTTATAGCCTTGAAGAACTGGCTTTGCAATTACAGTCTTGGAGCCTGAAAATATTGTACAATGGTGAGAACACCTGAAATAAAATAAGATCCGCAAGGGTGGAACTGGGCTGCGGGGAAGTAGAGATGCTTCAGACAGTCCATTGCATCTCCTTGTCCTTTGGAGCAGAATGGTTTGCATTAATGATACAGTTTTAACTGGTAGCAAGGATAGAGCAAGAAATGAATAAACAGAGAGGTATGAAGCTGGAGAATTAATTAGTCATGACTAGTAAGTAGTAATGAACTCTAGAAACTTTTTATTCTGTTGTTGAAGTGAGAATACAAATACAAAAAAGTTTCTCTGTGAAATAGACTGTGTTTAGCCAAGTTGTTTTTCCTGTTGTTGTGTTTTGCAGATCATTGATAAAAGTAAGAGGGATCCCTCAGAAGAAATTGAGATTCTCATGCGTTATGGACAACATCCAAATATTATTACTTTAAAGGATGTATGTACCTCTCTTTCTCTGCTACATCTTATTACATAGTAGTCTATAAATGTGGATGTAGGGAGTTTATGGGGATTCTTAAATTTTTTTTACATAGTGAAATATATTGGGAGAGCAGTACATAAAGGGCTAAGTATTGAAAAATATGACATTGTCCTGATAGTAATTTTTTCTAAATGCCGTTTAATGAACTTGAAGTAAGAAATGACATAAAGGTTAGGAATGCCATACGTGTGGGTAATCTGAGTCTGAGAAAGCAGTTGCGTGTTGTCCTGTCTATGCAAAGTGGTAGCAGCTAAAAATTGTTCGTGGAGGGGAAGAGCAACACAAGAGTGGTAGGACTACTCTCCTCTTCCAACAGAAGTTGCTAGACTGAAAAATTTAATTCCACATCATGAGTTAACAATTGTTTACCTCTGCGTCTTACAGAATGACTGTCTTATACTTCATGCTTTAAGACTCCTGAATTGCAGAATTAAATTTTTCAGTCCCTGCTGTTTGTGAATGGGTGAACAGTCTAGTCTGTAATTTTCACATTTATCAGGATGTATCATTACAGATGTTCTTTTTTTAATATATATGTATGTATTTATATACATATCTACTTGTCAAACTTCTCATCAGGTGTATGATGATGGTAGATTCATATACCTTGTCACCGAACTGATGAAAGGAGGAGAGCTGCTCGATCGAATTCTCAGACAGAAGTTCTTCTCGGAACGAGAGGCTAGCGCTGTATTATACACTATAACTAAGACTGTGGACTACCTGCACTGCCAAGGAGTGAGTAATTTCTTCTATGACGTAACTTCTTTCACACTTCTTAACAGATGCCTTTTGTTACATGCTTTGGTTGGCTTGTTTTTATGGCAGAAGGGAACATTTCTGAGTATTTTATGACAAAGGTGCATAATGTAAACAACTCATCCTGTTATTCTGGGAAGCTCTTTCAAATCTTCTTTTACAGTTTATGAAACAGCAGATACTTGTTCTTTTATGCTTGTTGGCAAATGGTAACGTGAGTTCCAGTTGCATTATGAGCTGGTGGGCTTTTTTGACATTACTAGAAGTAGAATATTTTTTTTTTACTCGAAAGTTACATGGTTGTGTAGAGCTGTTAATGGGTATATTAAACTAGGGAATAGTTTTTTGAAATTATGTACAAATGTATATGCAACTTCTAAATGATAGATTTTAAAATTTCTTTGTTTAAAGGTAGTGCATCGAGATCTTAAACCTAGTAATATTTTATATACGGACGATTCAAATAATGCTGATTCTATCAGGATTTGTGATTTTGGATTTGCAAAACAACTTCGAGGAGAAAATGGACTACTTCTAACTCCGTGCTACACTGCAAACTTTGTGGCACCAGAGGTATCTTAAATTGCCGTGTGTTTTCTCTATGCTGTTGTTGATACATCAAGTACTTAAACTTTCTAGGAGTGCTTTAAAAAAAAAAAATCTGCTAGTTTTCCTTAAATATAGTTATACATATTTTCTAAACACTGGTGCATATGTTTATAATAAACCTGCTTTAAAAATAGCAGAATCCACCCTCAAAAACAGGATGTAAGCCTGTTGAAAATCTTGAGGTGATGCTCTGGGAGTGAGAGCTATTGTCAATAGTTGCTGTAACCTGCATATTGAAAATAAATAATCAAGCCCCTGAAATTACGCTGGAGGTGACTTACCCTTCCATAGGCTGTGTGTCATGGTATTGGTTTGGGGTGACTTTTTAATATATGAAGAGTCTTTAAGACTCTCTTGTTTTGCAGGTTCTCATGAGACAGGGATATGATGCTGCTTGTGACATATGGAGCTTGGGTGTTCTTCTTTACACAATGTTGGCAGGGTGAGAAATACTTCTTTGCTTTTTTTGTTTACCTAAAATTCCAGCACACTGCATTAATCCATGCTTTCATTAAAATTGTGAGATATTACCTCATTGATTTGAATGCAGAACGACAGAGACACTGAAATGAAACACGGAGCTGTGAGTAAATGCGTACATAAACTGTACTGTTCCAGGTTTGGATTACTTCATATGCTCTGGTAATCTAGCATAATTTGTGTTTATGAATCACTTCTATTTAAATTGAAAGTCTGCACTGATTAGAGTCATTATTAAGAAATTAACTAAAGACATCTTTTTAGTCTGCATTTCCCTTCTATTCTACTCAATTAACCAGAATTATGGGGAAAATAAAATAGAGTTTCGAAGATTAAATGCTAATACAAGAAGTATTTAATAGTATATTGTCTGTTTCTGCTGGCACTGGGAGATCTAATCAGAATGATTCATGAGATTTTACCAATTTCTTGCAGCTTCTTACCTGTAATGAAGCATTTTGTGTTTTTGTTTATTACTCTTTCCACAGCTATACTCCATTTGCCAATGGTCCTAATGATACTCCAGAGGAGATCCTGGTACGGATAGGCAGTGGAAAATTCTCCTTAAGTGGAGGCAACTGGGACACTGTTTCAGATGCAGCAAAGGTCTCGATGTGTTTTGTTTTGTTCTTATGTTTTTTATGGAATTCAAATGAGCATCTGCTGAACTTCATAGAATAGACTAGTCTGACATGGTAGCTTGCTATTATTACCTGCCAAGTTTAATGCAATAGGGTCATCTAGTCCAACCTCCTGCTCAAAGTAGGGTCAGCTGTGAGATCTGATCAGGTAGCTCAGGGATTTATTCAGTCTGGTTTTGGAAGCCAGGGGTGGAGACAGAACAGCTTGCCTGGGCAGCCTTTTCCAATGCTTGGCCTGCTGTAATGAGGGAAAATCTCCTCCTTTCAAGCCAGAACATCTCTTGTTTTTCTTTGTCTCCATTCCTTTGGCCATGCTGACTGAAGGAATGTCACCCTTCTTGGATGCCAGGTCACACTGATGGTTCAGGTTCAGTTTCATGTCTACCACAACCTCCTGGTCCTTCTCAGCAAAGCTGGTCCCCAGCCAGTCAGTCCCTGCCCTGTACCTGGGTGACAATTTCTTCCTTTCCAAGTACTGGACTTTACTTTTGTCCTTGCTGAATTTTGTATGGCTCTGGTTAGCCCATTACTCACTGCATCCTGCCCTTGAACTCCTTAGTTCTTTCCCTCTGCCTCCAGTTTGGTGCCCCACTGCAGACTTGGCAAGAGTGCACTCTCTTGCTTCCCCCAGGTCACTGGTAAGCATTTTAAATAAGGTAGGTCCCAAAATAGGCTTTTCTAATCATCAGAATTTTTTTAATCCTTGTTTGTATTGGACCAAACTCAGATGTTTATAGGATTCCTTAAATGGAAGGATGACTCTGCAGTTGTCTGTTAGTTCTAGTAGCTAACCAGTCCTGCATTAGCAGGTTCATTTTTTGTAGGGCAATTTCTTAAATGTTCTTCAGTGCTGAAGTCATTAGGTCTTTTCTTTGTTAGTACTTTTCAGCAATTAGGCTAGTACTTTAACAGTCAAATATATCTCGATATCTTGCCAAAAATCTTGATCAGCTTGATTATGCAGCTGTCCTTATTTAAAGACTGCATCTCTCATCAGCTGCTGTATGTGTGTTCTGGGTTCGGTGTTAGCCTGGTCTGTAGGTATCTTAGTCACCACTGTTACCTTTTATAAAGCTTGGCATTTATATTGAATCTTTTCCTGATCCTTTGGAACTGCACTATTTGTTCATTTCAGTAGGAGTGATTCAGAATACTTGTTGGCTGATGCTGTCTTAGTACAAGTAATTCACTTCTGTATATTTAAGAATGCTTAACATTTTGTACCTAAAACAAAGGGAACATTCTGTTGGCTTGTTCATATTTTGTTTTCTTTCAAGCTATTCCTGTCTGTGTTCTGTGCCCTTCCCACCCAGCTTTTTTTTTTTGACCAACGTTGTAATTAGTGTCTTATTACTAATGCTTCTAAACAGGCAAAACCCAGTGTCCATTTCTGGTGGCTTTACTCTTTACATAGCTCCTTGAAAGAAAAATTATTTAATAGTGTATCACTACATAGAATTCAATTGTAATATATAGTCAGCAGACCCCAAATGTGTCATGTGAATGAGGAGAGATGTTTGCAAATAATAGCTTTCTTCTATAAAATTTTTCTGCTAAATTGCAATAGGATTTCTAGTCTTTTAAAGATTGTATTAATAATAAACTGAAATATGCAAAACACAAACAACAGTAAGTTCCTTTACAATAAAGCTTGCTCTGTTAAACTGTTTAAATAGTACAACACATTGTTTTCAGACTTCTGCAGTGTCCAGGCACAGAATGATCCAATTTATCTGCTGATTTGTGTGTGTGTTTGCATTGTGTTCATCCCTGCCACATAGAGCACTTTCTTCATTGCTTCCGTAATTAAAGCTTTAAAGCCTGTACAAGATATTTTAACTGAACAATATGTGTATTTTTTGTTTTTATCTAGGACTTGTTATCACATATGCTTCATGTAGATCCACATCAGAGGTATACAGCAGAGCAGGTATTAAAGCATTCGTGGATAGCCTGCAGGGACCAGTTGCCGCATTATCAACTAAACAGGCAAGATGCACCGCATCTAGTAAAGGTAAAACAACCTCGAGACTGAGTGTTGCTTGAGCTGGTGGATGCGCAGTGAACTGAGTCACTTTTAGAGCTGCAGGCAAAACTTTTTTTTTCTTTAGAAAACAAGTCAGTTTTCTTTTGTTTTCCTTACTAGGTACATATTTAAGTTACATAAGTAGACAAATTATTGGTAAACTAATTTTTTTAACTTACATGTAAAGGAAGAGATGGGTGTTTTGTTTTCAAAAATAAAGGTAGCTTTGGCCATACAGGAACCTGATAAGACAGTTTTCTGAGACTGAGCCTTCCATAGGTCTCCTAGCATTCTTATTCAAGAGATTTCTTGGCATTTGTTTCTATGACTGGCTTATATTGTGCTTTTCTAACATAAATTCATTAACTACGCTGCAGTTTTTCCACCACTATTTTATCTGTTTGTTCTGTAACTGTGTTTCTGACTTGTGACACAAAACTGTATATAGACAGCTTTTAGGTTGACTTCTGGTTTTGTTGGATTCAAAAATAAAGACCTGTGATAACTGATCCTAATTGTGTGGTCTTCATAGTTCAGGACCTGAATAGCCACTTGAGTGGCACATTTGATAAGTTGATGCTAATGTTGCTTGGAAAATAGTAATTCTGACTCGCACTGAAAGGTTACTCCTACATCTAAGGTATGTAAAAGAAATACAGAGGAAAGAGAAAGAAATGTCAGATATCCATGCTTAGAAGCTTGAAGGATTCAGTGATTTTTTTTTTAATCTTTTTTTAAAACAAACTGTATAGAATATGCATGACCTGCCTTAAAGTCCTGGGTTTTTTTCATGGAGTTAATTAAGAATTTAATATTCAACTGCTTTATTTTCTGATATAAAAGACTGTAAAGGTAACTTTTATATTTTATTGTTCTCTAGGGAGCCATGGCTGCTACATATTCTGCACTGAATCACAAGACATTTCAGCCAGTGTTAGAGCCTGTTGCAGCCTCAAGTTTAGCTCAGCGACGGAGCATGAAAAAGCTAACATCAACAGACTTGTAGATCCACTGGGACACCTTAGCAAACAGAAGCAAGGGGAAAATCCAATAAGTGGCTCTATTTTGCCTGACCTGTGATCAAAAGGCGTCTATGGTTTCCTGCTACACTACTTGAATTCTGTAAAAGTCCTTTTTTTAAAAAGAAAAAAAAAAATCCACAGGTTCATACTGTGTTGTTTTACAGGCCGTATCTGTTAAATTAATTTAAATATCAGGTACACCATAATGAATTTCTCTACACTGTCCTTTAAGAGATCTGTTGCAAATATTATTTCACATTCTGTATAGTTTTGCTGGGTTCATTTAAGAAAATGGTTTAGGGGACCGTTGCCAGTGCCCAAGTTGTACAAAAAGTGTCAGTGGAAGGTTTTTTTCACATCTTTAGACCCTGTTGTGAAGGACAAATACTTAATTTTGTAATTGGGCACTTAATTCATTCAGATTAATTAATTTAACTTGTTCATTACTGTTATGAAAAGCTGACTGAAGTATTGTGCCAGTATTAAATGCATTCGTGTTAATTTGGAAGGTCGGTGTTTGCATGGTGCTGGTAACTGATAAGTTTATGTGAAAATACAAACAAAAGGGATGTGTAAGCTTTCTACACTCTACCCAGAAACTTAATTTGATCGCTTGTGACCCAAACAAAATGCTGGTTAACAAATGGCTTCTTACAGGAAAATTATTATCTCGAGTTGTTATCATGAATGGTATTGTGTCCTGCACTGAGCTGGAGAAAATAAGTATAAACTGTCAAAATTAAGGATCTAAATAACATTGGTACCAGTTTAGACAGTATCATGCAATCCAATACTTTTTGTTATTTAATACTGTCTTTCCATTTGTGCAATGACTGTGTTACGGTTTCCTCCGCAGTCATTTCCACTGAATATACCCAATATTAAGTTTGTTTGGCATATTGGACAAACTGACACTTTATTGTAACAAACTTGGCACGTGGATTTTATGTTTTATTTATTTGATTTTTACAGAACATTGCTTCTATCTGGATCTCTCGCCGCATGTACAAATATTACAGAACATAAATGCAAAATTCTGTTTGCCTAACTGTAGGGGTAGCTTGGGAAAATAAATAAGCTGTGCAGTGTGCCCAGATAAGGGAGTTCTGACCAAGAAATTTCACAGTTACAGACAAGTTCCTGACAATATCCTGTTGCCAGCACTTGCTTGCCCTCTCTATCTTGGTGTTAGAGCTTCAGCTGTTTCTGACTGCTGTGGTGGAGAGGAAATGAATTTCAGGGCCAGAATTATCTTGGGGTTTTCTGACTCAAAACTAGTTCCCAGTCTACTAGCACTTAGCACTAATGCAGAGATGATGAGCTTAAAAGTGTTTCCAAAAGTTGTAGATGCTACTGTGCGATTGTGCTGTCACAGTAGGATGATACGCATTTTAAATATTAAATATATTAACGATGAACAGTTGAACTGTCAACAATTAGAGAATCCAAGTGACCAAAAATCAAACGTAGTTCAGCCTGATGTGCCATTGTTGAATTTCCTGTTTTGGATACCTTTTGATAGCCAGTCACAAGACACCAGTGATGGCAGAACTCGGCGTTTTGAGACAGGAAAAAACACTTTCAGGAAAATTCTGGCTCAGTTGCCAAGAGTGGCGATAATAACTCAGATCCTAAAAGGCAGAGGGTGCTGGCTGGTTTTTGCTTCTAGCTGTGAAGTACTTGGTGGCATTGGAAGTCCTGTTAGATAAGCTGCTTTCTTTTGTTGTGGTGGGGGAAGATGGAAATTATCTGGCCAACTAGTTAGGTATGAATATATGTAGATTTGAGACTTAATGAATATAGCAAACATAGGTGTGCTATTTGTATCATGCAGAACATACCCCATACGAAATTTCTTGAGTATTTGATAGATGTTGGAAGCTTTAGGATGCCTAGTTTTGAGATGCCTGTTTGAAATGCTTGAAAGCTTATCAAAGAACAGAACTGCTTCCTGAAAAGTGTATTGTTTAGGACAGAATCTGCCCCTTACGCAGCTGGTTCATCCTTCTTTTCATTACTGAAGACCTTTGCCAGCAAGAATGCCTGTAAACCTCTTCTCTACAGTCTTATTGGTATAATTTTTTTGTAAATTTAAAAAATGACTGCCAGAAGAATTTGAATTCACTCTAAGAAAAAAAAAAAACAGCGGTGGAAATAAAGCCACCTTAGCCCAAGGTCAAGGCGTAACGTGGGCTGGAATGTACGAGGTAAAACTGTGCTGGGGACAGAGGGTAATGCGAGGCATGGAACACAACTGAAATGTCAAGCTTGAATTGTCTTCAGCTTTCCCGTAAGGTAGCAGCTGGTCTTTAATGGCATTATTCATGAATCATTTAGCAGTGTTTGTATTGGTATTTTCTTTTATCTTGCTTAGAAGCACCACATTACAAGCACCTTAAAAGCATTTTGCACAAAAGCGGTTGTAAGCAGCTGAAGGTACTTAAGTTCTCGGTGTGCAAAACAAAGGTGGTAAGAGGAAAAGTACACCAACGAGATGGATATCCTGATTCTTGGCAAGGAATTTAAAGCATCTTCTATAAAGTTATCCCTGCTATTTTTATATCATTACTAGCCATTAGTACAAGTACTCCTGGGGTAAAAGCAAGATTTTGGTGACTGCAACATTACCCAGTTGTCTTATTCACAAGGAGAACATATGGCCAGACCCCTTTGTTGTATCTGACAGGCCAGTGTACCCTCGTATGCCAGTCTTAATCCTTAATTCAGGGGGAGAAGTTCACTTGCTATGAATATTTCAGCATATCAGTCTTTGTAACATTTTGGATATACAGGGATACAAAAGAGTTTGATTGCAGGTTGCCCTTAGAGTATTTAATGATCATGTTCTTTGTGTTATTTTGAAATTTCTTGCATTTTTTTTTTTCAGACTTAGGTTTTGTTCAGTTAAGCAGTTATAAAAGTAGCATGATCTGCTCACAAGTAGCAAGTTAAATGTTTGAAATGGAAGAGCACTTCATTTGAACATGCTCTTGGCTGGGGTGAAAGGTGTAACGTGTTTCACTTTCTTACCATCTTTGCACAGTTTGGGATTACCAAGTAGTTGTGCTTTTACTGTCTTTCTGTTTTTCTTAAAGTGGCATTTTTACAAAGGCTGATAATTATAAAGAATAGGTAGACGCATTATGTATTTAAAGGAGTCCCCAGAGAACTAATTAATATCTAAAATGATTTAATGTTTTGGGTATGGCTTCTGTTACTGCCAGCGAAACAGCTTCTAACCCGATGTTTGGTACTGGCAGTTGTAAGTCAGTGCTGGTTCTGAAGTGCAGATAGAGCCTCATACAGCTCTCACTGAAGAGAGCAGCTTCCCACAGATATCAGCTGGAGCCGATTCCCGACACGTTCTGCTTTTCATTCACCCCTTGTGGATCACAATTGCTCTCTGCAGTTGTATTTTTGATAAAAAGCGAGGAACTCTCTTGTATTCCTGTTCCATATCCAAGAGCTACGCAGTGGCATCGGCATCAGCCAGTGGTGCGTAACGTTGGGTTCGTTGAAGCCGCTCTTCAGTGGCTTGTGTGGTCTCGATGCCATTGTTAGCATGTTGTGTATTTTTCCCATTCTGCTTGAAACTGGTCAATTCTCTCTGACCACGTGAAGAGCCCAAGGTGTAGGTGGTCTAAGCAAACTGTCCGGTTGATGTATCGTTTAAATGTTCTCCTTGCATTCAGTGGAGGCATCTAAAACCTCACCCAAGTCAGTCATCATGAGCTTGAATTCTGTCTTCTGTGGTTTGATTCATTTTCCAAAGCTAATCATATGTCCAGCGGTTAAAATCACCACGAGCAAACTTCAGCATTTGGAAGTTCCTTGCGATATGAACTGGCCATTTACAGGGGTGAATTGCTGCGTCCAGAATTCTGCTGTCTGCCCTCAAATGTTGCAATCAAAAAGTTGAGATAGCTTGTAAGAACTGAGTTAAAGGAATTCCGCAATACTCTATTAATTATCCTGGTTTGGATCAGTGAAAGTACACTAAAACATCAATGCAAACACAGGGGTTTGTGTATTTCTGTCGCACTTAAGTTTTTCAGTCCTATCCAGAATTAGAATTTTGCAGATATTTGGGTTTTTCTTAAAGTTTTCAGAAGGCTTCTTAAGCCATGATAATAGGATTCTTATGGAATGCTATGGAAGCTCTGTATGATTTTATCAAATGTTCCTTGAAATTGTATTCAGACATTTTCTTGGGGTTTGTATTGATACCCATTGGTAACACACCTGTGCTGCTCTTCTCACCGTACCATCCCTCTGCGTTAACGCCCCTTTAGCTGGGTACACTCTGAATCCTGCTTGTCCCTTCTGCGGTGTACTCTCCCCTGAATGCTGTTATTGATAAGCCTACATTTTCCTTGGGGAATAGAAGAATGAATACAAATTTTAAAAATCACCCCGGTGTATGGCTGAAGCTGGCTTGAGTATTAGAGTAACATACGGAATTAGAAATCCCCCCCAAATTAATCAGCGACTGCTTCTCCTGAGATTTTTCCTATGTGCTTAAAGCAAACCTTCTTTGAAAGCTTTAAAGGATGTTTAATTGATTATGTCTCTTAATAATTAAGATTTGGGCAACAGCTTATTACCGATAGTGAGTTTGAATAACGTTGTGTCCTGGTTTGGGGGTTTTTTGTGTAAGAACTGAAAAGATGCTGGAGGCGGCTCTCGTTTGCAGGACAAAGTGTTCCTATTTGGTGTGTTTCGCATCAGGCTGATGAGCAGCGTTAGCTAATTGCTTGTCACAATATCCCAAGCACTTTGGCATCTTGCACTGATACTCTGATTCGAGCTAAAACTCTTCTGGCACGTGACTGGCGATAAATCTCAGTATACGAAAGGGCATTAATTGAAAACAGTGTGCAATGAATTCCATGCTCTCGGAGGTACTTCAAAGATGAAACTATACAAAAGGTCCCCGTTCTCAGATATTGTAACTGTCATTTCTTTCTCTTAAGCATATTGTGGATTTTGTATCATATTGTATTTATTTCATTTAATTTTAAAAAAAAAAGAAATGTTTTCTTTAAAGCTCTGTATATATTGACATTAAAGTTTGCATTGTACTACGTTCTCTTCTCCTTGTAAGGCTGGCTCTGGTCGTGCATTGTATGGTAT